ATAGGTAGATAATTGGTTTGTCAGTTTAAAATGTTTTGATCTATCTGACATTAAAAAATAAAAAAAGTATGTAAGAAAATGGTCTATAAATAATGTTTTCTTTTACTGAAGTTTATTAAATATTGTCTGTATGAACAGCCCCAGTGATATGAAAGACATTATGAGTGGAATTGATTACATTTTTTCTCCATCGTAATAGATTGCAACTTTTTTAAAAACATATCTCTGAAATTGAACATTCAGTATTTTTTGAAGAAGATTACAGGTCATATTTTTATTCTGAACTCTTTAGGTGCGTGTTCCTTAAACTGTTTGCTTCTTCATGCAGTCTTATAAAAAAAACATAGATAATTTATGTGCCACATATAAAATGAGTAGTTTTTCTTTAGTCATTAAATTGTTTGGTTTATGTTTTCACTCCCTATAGAAACTGAAGGTGGTGTTTGCTGTGGGGACTGGAGGAGAGGTCAGTGAACCCTTAGAGGTCAACGCACTGACCTGTGACACAATACAACAGGTCAAGGAGAAAATCTTGCAGAACTTCCAGCGCAAGTTTGGTTTCCTCTTCCAGCAGATCAGGGATATAGAAATTGGTTAGTAGACTCCCTGTTTCTCACTCTCTTACTGTTGATGATCATAATATTTCATAAAACTTCCTTATAGAGCCTACATCTGTTGTTAACACACAGTTTCAGTTTGCCAGTTGCAATATCCGCTAAACTAATTCCTGTTTGTATTCTCCGTTTTATGTTGTGCACTCACAGAATATGAAAAGGAAGGAAAGTTTGTCATGCTACAGGAAGTCGATGAGTCCTCAGAGATTCGGGGGCATGTTACCATGTTGAACACTCTAAAACATTATCAGGTGAGTGCATGAGAACAAAAAAATGGAGCAAACATCTTTTTTGAGAAGTGGACTGTATTCTAAGCAAACAGACAACTGATAAAACAAAAATCCCACATGGGCCATATATAGAGACGAGAATAAGATAAAGGCTTAGGGTTTTGAGGTAAGGTTTGTTCACACCAAGAACGACAACTATAAAGATAACTTTAATGATCACCAATAACATTCTGTTTATTATGAGCACATACTGCAGTTGTTTGCTGCTTTAAAGGGGTCATGAACTGAGAAATCAACATATAAGAGGTCATTGCGCTATAAAAACATCCTGTAAGTTTCAGAACTCAAAACTTTCTTGTTAGTCTAAAAACAGCTTATTGAAGTCAATTTGCCAAAATGACAGCTTGTGGAATGTGCCACTTTATGACGTTATAGTGTGGCTGAACACTGCCTCCGCCGAAGAAGATCAACGCCTGTTTAGCCCCGCCCACCGATTCACATATGTACTGTAGTAGGTTAATGACGAGAGAGGTGAACGCAGGTCTATGCAGGAAACTAAATGATAAAGATGGCTCTGAAGACAACAAGATGCTGTGTAGTGCCAAGTTGTGGAAAAACAGTCTTTGCACTGTCCTATTATTTATGCGTTTTTAACCTAAATGACAGCAGCATCCATCTGTGTAGGATGTAGGCTGTCAAACATACACAACTGTTAGCCAATCATAGCAGTGGGCGTTTACTTCTGAGTCTACAATCTGCCACACCTATTCAAACAGAGCGTTCTGATGAGGGGGGTTAAAGACAGGACAGAAAATAGCCTATTATTATGTTTTTTTAATGTACAAATCTTGATAGCATTATAAGGCAGTTCATGACCCCTTTAAAATACCTTAAGACACCTTAAAAACACCTTATAGCAAGTTGTGATTCCATTGATATCATTCCTCTGTGCCACTACTCTCATAGAATTAGAATGATAATTATAAGTTTATAGTTGTTATCATCGTTATAGTTATCATCCTTGGTGTGAACGGACCTTTGAACTATTAAAGTGTGACAGCTAGTGTGAGCCAAAACAATGAAAAATTCACATTTAGAAGATACTGTATAAGCATTCAAACCTTACAGTCTCTCACTTCCACCAATATGGATCAACGTGCAATTAATCAACAAAAATCATCTGATTTTCTAATCAAATGCTTTCTGAAGCACCCCACCCCCTACACTATAAATAGACACTGAAGCTGCTGGTGAAATCGGTCACTTGTTCACAGAACTACTATTTTTTATATAGTGAATGGCACGTAGTGCACTACATAGGGGATAGGGATTGATTTAGACAGTGTAAATGTGCTTTCCATTGGGGCGAATGAAGTCTGGTTTCGCGTTGTGTCCCACGAACTGCCGCAGCCAATAGTCTGCTTTGGGCCAGAGACACAAAGCACAGAGCGGATCATATGTATGAGTCGGTGCAGACCACAAAACATATCGGACCCATTTGAATTCTACACAAAATGCTATATTTTAAAGTGACTGGATGAGACAATTTTCTACGCATCCTCAACATCATAATAATCATTGTTTTGCTTTAGTAACAGTTTCATATTGTATCTAAAGGAGTTATTACACTGTGGGGGTCAAATGTGGTTTTACCAAGCTTAAAGGGTTAGTTCACCCAAAAATGAAAATTAGCCCATAAATTACTCACCCTCAAGTCATCCTAGGTATATATGACTTTCTTCTTTCAGACGAATCCAGTCGGACTTATATTATCCATATTCAAAAGGTAATAATCACTTTAATGTAGCTTGCTTTAACAGTTGTACACGGAAGCAGCTCCGAGCAGATGATGTATGAGGTCAGCTTTGCTCATGCGCCGCTCAAAAGTGACGAACGCGGAAGTGCAGGGGAGAGATCAAAACAAAACAACGGTCACTAATTAGAAGCACAAAACGAGGATTTGTAAAGAAGAATGTCAGAGGATTTTGATATGAGCCAAGAGGAGACTGGTTTTCCTTTGCTATAGTAAGTAAACTTTGCTTCCTTTGCTCCTGTTAACAAACGTTGGTTTTCACAAGACTCACTGGCGCGTGCGCAGCGCCGACCTCAGACGTCATCCGCCCGGAGCTGCTTCCGTGTACAACTGTTGGCGCAAGCTACATTAAAGTGATTATTACGTTTTGAATATGGATATTTTTCTTACAAAAACGCATCGATTCGCTACAGGAGGCCTTTGTTCACACCCCGGAGCCGTGTGAGACACTTTTGTTTTTATGGATGGGCGCTTTTTATTTAACTTCTTTTGGACTGATGCATGCAACACCCGGTGAGTGGCATTAAACAGCTTGAAAGATCAAAGACGATTTTTAATATAACTCCGACTGGATTCGTCTGAAAGAAGAAAGTCATATACACCTAGGATGACTTGAGGGTGAGTAATTTATGGGCTAATTTTCATTTTTGGGTGAACTAACCCTTTAACCAATGGCACTGGCCTAGCTGTGATGTAAATGAAATGCTATTGGCTATTTTAAAAAAGGGGCGGGGCTGCTCGAGTCGAATTACATCAACTCATTGAGTAGTGCTGCATATTTCAAGGCACTTCAGTGGACCCTTAAGAAACCACCCAGAACACCCCAGCAGCCACATAGCAACACCTTAAAAACAGTGACAAAAGGAAATGACCAATCACATTTTCTTTAGAAAATGTAAAAAATATAGTTCATATCTCTATAAAATAAAACAATAGTCATGTGTGAATAGAAATGTAACAGATAAAAGACTACAAAAGAAGTTTGTCTTACTGTCTTGCTCAGTATTTGTATGCTCTCTGTTAGCTTTATTCAAGGTGCTTGAAATTGACCTTTCACTTGCAAAGCTTGTATCACAAGGCCAAATAAACCCAGATTATGCTAAACTGTTGCAAACCCATAATACACCCATAGACTACTGCAGCACAGTATTTATTTTCTCAGCTTTTCCAGAGTTTGTGTTTTTAAATATGTATTTCCATCAAGGTTGGAGATGGATCATGCATTAAAGTTATCACAACAAAAGTACATGCACCATTGAGGTCTCAGAGCAGTGTAAAGGGTGAGTCACATTCCTCCCATCATCCACAAACTGAAACAATGCCATGCCCGATATCACAATCAGTACATTTTGGGTGGTTTATTTTGCTGTTGCAGTTGTTGCTACTTTATTATTGTACTTAAAATAGGTTTGCATTTTGAGTGTTAATATCTGTATAAATGACAACTTAGAAGTTCACTACAAACAGCCATTCAGCTCACCACAATACTGTAGCTTTGCAAACACCCCACCCCCCTCTACAAAACATTCAGTATTGCAACATATAATGTGGGTGTTCTGAAATGGGTTTTTTCCTTCATGTAACAGTGCATCCAGATGTGTTCTGTACTCTATTACATCAGCTAAGAGAAATTAAAATAAAGGGAAAGTTCAGCCAAAATATGACAATTCTGTCATCATTTACTCACCCTCATCTTTTTCAAAACCTATAGGACTTTCTTTCTCCTTGTAACACACCAGAAGTAGTTTATCAGAATGTACAAGCTTAATTTTCCATACAATAAAAAGGAATGGTGACCAGAGCTATAAAGAAAGAAATTATGAAAGTCTGAAATTTCAGTGTATTCCTCACAAAAGCTATCATATGATCAGATATATAAATATAGTGATTTTAAGATGCTTTATGGTGCTTTTTGGAGCTTTACAGACACTGGTCCCCCATCTAATTTCTCTATATGGAAGAGATCAGCGTTAACAGTCTGCTAAACATCACTTTTTGTTTTCCACACACAAAATAAAGTCATGTGGGTTTGAAAAGACTTGAAGATGAGTAGATAATTAGAATATTACCATTTTTGGGTGAACTATCCCTTCTATTGAACTTGTCAAGCTGAACTAGAGCTATTAACAAAGAGTTCAAATTAAGGCAACCTTCTCACACTGAAGCACAAGGATGAAATTTGGCCTTGTGTAAAGGAAGTGGTGGTATCGGTTGTCTTTGTCTCTTTATACCACGTGTTTTATCTGTCGGTGAAGTCTCTTTTCCTGTATATGTACCACAGACAGTTTCTGGTAGCCTTTTAGAACTTTCATGAAGTTGTTGATATATTTACATTTTATAATAGTTAACAGAGATCGGTAATTGTTGTACATTCAAATATGAATATAAATTAATCCATGACATTTCAGTTTGAGTGTATATTAGTGATCAATGGTCTGTTTGTAGTCTAATAATGTTGATTAATGTCAGACAGGGTCCAAGATGTCGAAATGTGTGTATGAACACATGCATTGTTCACATCCGGTTATGTTTGCATATGTGTTTGTGGTATATGTTGAAGTGCATCTGCATTGTGCAAATGTGGGTGCTGACATGTGGCCATTTTAAGTTCTACTCAAACCCACTGTTACCACAGTAGAGATTCTGTACTGTAACACATCCTATCTGCTGCATCAAGAACAACAATAATGATTGTTGGGCCAGTATCAGCTTGACATTGCTTATTTACTCATCATTATGGTGTTTTGTTTGACAGATGATGAGAACTTCGCTGTCAAGTACTTCCATCTGGTGAGTTGCCATAGGGCATGTATTCTTCTGTCCAGTGTTTGTTTTGCTGTGTCCTTCTCATTGCACTGACACACCTAATGATCTGTCAAGTGTCTGTGTTGTGTTTTCCTCCACGGGTCATTATTGAGAATTCATGTGTTATATCTAGATGCTACTGCATTCGCACTGAAGTGAAGTGAATGTGGGTGTGTGATACTTTCGGTTTTGCCAGCTTCTTCCTGTTTAAATGAGAGGAAGCGTTTTTAAGTAAATCTGAACATAATCTTTGTGTTGTTGATATTGTTCAAAGATACACCAAGCATTTTGCCTCTTGAGGCATAATAACTTCAACATTTCAATTAGAACCACTGTCAGTATATATAAGAAGACATTGCTGTAAAATAACTTTGATTATATATAACAATAAATATGATATCAAAGACAATTTCAAATACACATAGTAACTGGACTTTTTGATTGGTCTAGGTCGATCCAGATATCGACACAGACCTGAGCAAACATCCAGAGAAAAAAGCACTAAAATTCAAAGAGATGTACCTCACCAAGCTGCTCTCCACTAAGGTGAGAATAATTGACACACAGAAGCATTTTATTATATACTCTATATTGTATAGACAGATGCAGATACAGAAAGATAGATAGATAGATAGATCGAGAGACAGATAGATAGAAAATAGAAACTAGCAGAACAGACACAAAAAGACAGTGAGAGAGATGGATGGACGGACAAACAGAGGGACAGATAGATAGATAGATAGATAGATAGATAGATAGACGGACAGAATGTGTACACATTATATATATGAAATATGTGCTCATTGTGTCCACCAGGTAGCAGTCCATTCTTTTGTGGAGAATCTGTTCAGGAGTATCTGGGGATTGCCTAACAGCAGGGCCCCACTGGCCATCAAGTACTTTTTCCACTTCCTGGATGCACAAGCAGAGAGAAAAAAAATCTCAGATCCAGATGTTCTCCACATCTGGAAAACAAACAGGTGCTGGATAACACACTTTCATTGAAGTACACTTTGGACAGCTCCACAAGCAGCTGCACCGACATCTGATTATCAAATTTCTCACAAGATTTATTAACGTGCACAACTAAAATGGATTTTCAAACCTCCCTATCAGCCTTCCACTTCGTTTCTGGGTGAACATCCTGAAGAACCCTGACTTTGTGTTCAGCGACTTGGAAAAGACACCTCACCTGGACGGCTGTCTGTCCGTCATCGCTCAGGCCTTCATGGACTCCTTCTCCCTAGTCGAGCAACACCTGGACAAGGTAACCACTGAAACCTAACATGGAAAGCTGCAAATATCACAGAGATTACTGACTCCCTTTTTCTCCTACAGCATTCACCAACCAATAAGCTACTCTATGGCAAAGACATCCCTCAGTACAAACAGGAAGTGAAGTCATACTACAAGTTAGTGAAGGACCAGCCTTCTATTAGCAGCCAAGAGTTGAAAATATTTCTTCAAGGGGAGTCAAAGGTACAATATGTCAAACACTACCTAGAAATAAAACAAGGTGTATTGATAGGAAGATGGTTGTAATGCAAAATGCCTAAATGTTAATTCCCCTTCTTCATCAGAAACATCAAAATGAGTTCAATGAATCTGCGGCTCTGCGAGAACTCTGCAAATTCATGCTCCGCTACTTCAGCGAGGTACGAATCTTGCGTTATCATCGCACATATACTCTTTCGTGCATTTGAGGCAGTTTCAAAACACATCAAAGCCACCGAAATTCTATAAAGGAAACCTATTTTGCCACTTTAATGAAATGTAACAACACTTTCACATCCTGTTTTAATTCAGGATGTTCAAAACCTGTTTTGAAAGGAGATTTGATACTGTCTATTCCCCTAGAAATCATCTGAAAGTTGGGTGGTCAGGAATGATGACGTATTCAGATTTAGCAAAGTAATTATACAACAGCATGACTTTTTCTTTTTAATACTTGGCCTCTACAGGTTTCTCAGAAGCTGGAACAGACAGACGCCCCTGATAAGTTGAAAGAGGACATGCAAAACGTGAAGGAGCTTTTTGAAAACATGAAGCGAAGTGGTTGGAGTTGAAATTCCTGGTCTTGTTATTCATATGGGTATTTACACTGCATTTTGTTTATTTTAAGCTGGTCATTAAACTGGACGCACCTCCATCATAAAGACTTTCAGCACCATCGGCCATATATAGAGAAGACAGATTCACTTCTGTTAGTTGGACATTATAGAGACCAAGTGAATGTAATGTATATTGATTAATTTTAGAGTTCGAGAGGAGCTCATTGTTGAGCTTATATTGGACTAACACTGACCTGTCTATACAATGTATCTCAAACCCATTACTTGCAAAACTTGATGATTTATATGGTTTAATTAGATTTTTCTCCCTGCTTTCTGAATCATATATTATTTTACTACAGAATTTGCCTCTAATGCATTAATCTGCCAATTTGCATAATTATTCAACTGTCCTGGTCTGCACTATATTATTAAAATGTGTGTAGTTTTATGTAAAGAGATGTGTCTAACAGTGTGATCACTGTTAATCTGTATTCCTTTGTCGCCCTCTATTGGTTATAATAGTTATTACTTATAATATGACAGCTTGCATTAATCGATTTATGAATTACATTATCCTTAAGGAGTAACATTCAGAACGATATAACCAAACAAAAAAATAATGGGTGAAATTGCCAGTATATTTTAAAATGTAAGGGGAAATAATTGAAGTATGTAGAAAGAGTATCATTTTTATCGTTGTTTTTTGTTCTTTCTTTCTTTCTTTTTTTTATCTAATGTATCACTTAGGATATATTGACAGATGTTAAGTTTACTATTTGCCTATTTCTGTTTATGAGCATATCCAATTAATAATAAATAAATGAATTATAATTGTAGTATTTTGATCAGTGTTTATTCAATTTCCAATGTATAGGAAAATAAAGCTCAACAAAAATTACATTTCAAACCATAAAAATGGCTAAAATTATATTCATAAATCTGAAACATATCCAATCCCATATCAATATCTAGGATAACAAATAAACAAACAACACATTCTGTAATAATTCCATATTCCATAATAATAATATTACATTTGTATATTTAATAAATTATGTTTGATTTTATGGGTAACTTTATAAATAAAATATACATGATTAGTCAAATATTATTATTATGCTCAGAACAATATTAAAATAAATAATCGTTTTTTAATTATGTATACATTTCTTTTTCTTTATTTCTTTTTAAATTGAAGGCAGAAACAACAAAGCATAGCATAAAATAATAGCATAAGTGGTAAGAGGGTAATATTTTAAACAAATTTTTTTTGTTTTTTTTGTTACAATTTTAAAGATGACATAAAACAATCAAATTATATAATAAAACAATAAACAACAAAAACAATGGGGATTAATTTAAACACTTTTGCTTGTGTACAGGTGCATCTCAATAAATTAGAATGTCGTGGATTAATACACGAGTTTCACAATTTGAGTTGAATTACTGAAATAAATGAACTTTTCCACGACATTCTAATTTATTGAGATGCACCTGTATATAACATTTTGCCAGTAATATAAATAAATTGACAATGTATTCAAGACCTTTGTTAATTTTGTTTTCATAATACACAATAAAATCCTTTAATGTAAAAAAGTAGTTAAGCTTTTTACTAAATATGTATATATTTCTTTTTTTATTGCAAAGCAAGAATAGTAACAGAAAGATCAGTTACATTCATAATAGCATCAAAGGAACAAACAGAAAAAAGGGGGGGGGGAACTACAGGGGATAGCTTACAAGAAATTTCCATAAGAAAATAATTAAAAAATTCTATGCATCCTTTGTGTTTTTTTAATTATATGTGTATATTTCTATAACAAACGCCATGACATGGAGTGACGTAAATTTCAAGACAGATTCCTATTGGCTGAACGGATTTGGGCGAGCCTCATTTTAATGGAGTGCTCCTGCGCATGCGCGTTTGTCCACCGACGCGTCACTGCGCATTCAACATGGACCCGACGGTGAAGAGGTAGCGGCGGACGCCTCTACGAGTCATGTTTATATTCTCCCATTACGACGCTTCATTATTCAGAGGAAAACACTCCGGTTGACCGGAGGAAACCTAAAATGTACAGCTTCCTAAATCTGACGCCCGTCCTTGGATAAGGGATTGATGAGATACCGGTCATGGCTGGATTGATCAAGAAGCAGATCCTTAAACATCTCTCCAGGTCAGAGCTGATCCCTTCCTGACGGGCTTTACATACATGTCGATGCTCGATTAACACGAATCGTGGTTTAAAGGCTGAGATGAGTCCTGCTGATGTGGCTGTGCTGGATGACACATGCTGATGGGTCATAACTGGGCTTTGACAGCTTGCCAGACAAAATGCTGTTGCACTGGGTTGATGTCAAAACACGCTTTGGGTGTCATGTCTCCAGCCAAACGAGTCTGTCTGCTCTCATCTTAATGTTGTTTTTTGCGGGTCAGCGTGATAGAGAGCGTGCTTTGTGGCTTGGAATCTTTTTTTTGTAGATTTCCTCTGCCTTGGAAACCACCCCCCTCATTCCATACAGACAGGTTAGATCCTTGGTAAGATTTAAGTGGATTCATGACATTGCATGACTGACTGACCCCATTTATAGTCCTGTGGTGTATCTGGTTGACACTTAAAGGTCAGTTAATCAACAAACAGTCTAGTAGGATGCCATGTAAACCAAGAATTTATACAAATATTAACAACTATGGGACATAAATGTAAGGTTTAGAGTCTGAATTTGGCATCTTTAAAGTTGGCATGTAAAAATAAAATCTGTTTTCCACATGCATGTTTTAGATTTTAGTGAGAATGCATATCCATGCATATTTTTAATTTAATTTTTTTTTTTTTTTTTTTTCATCATTTTTAAATTAAAATGTCATAACCGGATCTCCCAGGTGAAAGCATTAGACTTTTCTCTGGTTATGTATGCAGAACTTCTCCAGTCATTTACTTAAACATATTTTAACACATCGCTGCAAGCTCACATTCATTTGCCTCCATCAACAACCAATGCTTAGACCCGCCCTCCTTTTTTTATATTTTCTGATATGCCATTATACTTGGATGTACATCAAAACACAGAAGAAAAAATCTGTTGCTATTTAAGTTTCATCACAACTTTAAATCATAATATTGGCTGGGTGACGTGTCCCCTTGCGTGCCTATGGTGATTTAATTTCACCAGGCCTAGATGGAGAGAATTTGACTTTTTTTTTGTGCTAATCTCAGATTATTTTGGATATATTGGATTTAAACATGGTTAGTATTTAGGTATTGAAAGATGAAAAATCAACCACTCAATATATATTTTCTCATTTACTCACCCCCATGTTGTTCCAAATTTGTGTGGCTTTCACAAATGGAAGATACTTTGAAAAACATGGGCTTCTAAATCAACATTTAATTTTTAATACACAAAACATGGATCTGCAGGAGATATGTAGAACTTTATGAATGACAAGCATTCCAGTTCTCTTGAAATCTGTGGGACTTTTAAGGCCACGAATGATAACTATAAAGATAACTACAGGTGCATCTCAATAAATTAGAATGTCGTGGAAAAGTTCATTTATTTCAGTAACACAATTTGAGTTGAATTACTGAAATAAATGAACTTTTCCACGACATTCTAATTTATTGAGATGCACCTATATATTAGCATGCACAAACTAATGCATGGTAACTTTCTGTTTATTTTAAGTGCACACTACAGTTTTGTCATCTGCTGCTTTAAATGCTTGAGCCCATCAAATTTGGATAGATTTTGATTGGTTGTCAATGGTTTTGTCATTCATCAGCTAAAAAAAGTTGTTCTGGAAGCAATTCCAACAATATCGCTCTTTGGTGTTTAAAGTGGAAGAATGTGTATAAAATCGATATTTACAAAGAAGAAATGTAGTGATCTGACTGACATAATTGAACAGCCGCATCCCCAGGTGCATTTTCTGCAGCAACTGTCACTAACGGTGACTGTGTTTTAGCATTGATCAGCAGGATTGCAAGATAATTGACAAGCAACATGTGGCACTTTAGCAGCTTTTGGTCGATTGTTAATAGCAGTCTCTTCCTGTTGCGCCGGGACTCAAACAGAACCAGGACACAGGGTTTGTTCCACATAATGAAGCCAAGCTTTCACGTGAACTGAAGTGAAACTTAAAGAATCTCATTGGATTTTTTCAGCCTTTTTCATAATTTAGCCAAAAGAAGTTGGCTGATCTCACCTGTGCACTCAAGGCCTCAGAAAATGCTTGTGTACTTTCCCCTTGATTCACCCTTTGGTAGTTAGACTTGGGTGTTTTAGCTTATACATATTTTAGCTCTAACATATTTTCAAAAATGTAAAAATGTCTGAGTTGGTGGGTTGTCAAATGTCGACTGTTGAACAACTAGTCAGCCTTAAGAAGAGCTAATATGATTAGGCTGATTTTGCATCATAGACTGTATTGAACACGATGCAATAAACGACGTCTTTCTTTAGAATTAACTAAAACTTTTCAAATTGTTTTCATGAACTGATTTAAAACTCAAATGCAATATAAATAAAAGATTAAAAACTTAAACGAAAATTACATAAGTTGCTTTGGCAGCTAGCTGAAATAAAATATGTTTAAGCTGAAGTACTAAAATTACTAAAGCTAAAATTAAAATAACATAAATTAAGGTTAAATAGAAATATATTAAAAAAAACTAATTAAAATGTCAAAAGCACATAAAGTTGGAACAGATTTGGAGAAATGTAGCATTCCATCACTTGCTCACCAGTGGATCCTCAGCAGTGAATGGGTGCCGTCAGAATGAGAGTCCAAACTGCTGATAAAAACATCACAATAACCCACAAGTAATCCACATGACTACAGTCCATCAATTAACGTCTTGTGAAGCGGAAAGCTGCATGTTTGTAAGAAAAAAAATTCATCACTAAGGCCTCTTAACTTAAATTCTCTTCTGGCCAAAATTGCAGTCCATAATTCATAATAACACTCCCTCTGATGAAGAAGTCCATCCCTTGTTGTCCTCTCACATCAAAATCCACCGACATATTTGTTCAGAACAGTTTAGGACTGTTTTCACTTGTAAACCGTGCTTGATCTGTGCATATTTCTCACCTGATTGAGACAAGACAACTTTTTCGCTGGAGAAAGCAATATTTTGGATAGAGGACTTGTATTTTAACCGGAAGCAAAGGTTTGAAGTTAAAAATCGATGCATTTTTTTTAACACATGTAGTCATATTTAAATACGCACAGCAAAATTAAACCCATTAATTCAGGTTCTGCATACATGTTGTAATGTGTGAGTTCATTCTATGGAGCTTTGGGCATATTATGTGATAGTTGATGGTATAAATGGGTGTCTGTGCATCTGACAGTGTGGTCTTGTGCTGTTAGGCCAAACACCGCCCTCATATCAGTTCAAGAGTGCTGGTATCACTGGGACAGAATGTGTTGACTGTTAAAACACTGCTCGTTTTGTAGGAGGCTGGTTATAATTTTTCAATGGCATTTTTGTCATCTAGGATGGGGCAGTATGGTGTTTTACATCATGCAGTTGTAGAAATAAACTTGTAATTTGTACATGACCTTCTTCAACACTGAAATTACCTTTTAAAAGCAAATATAGTCTATTAGAACCAAATAAAGATGTATTTACCTGAGTTTTGCTAATAGATGATCCAGGTGTAGTTAAATTTGAGCCTATACCTGATGTCACCTGGCTGGCATCTGTCCGATCTCTTCACTGTAGTGACGGAGCGTTCTTAGGACTGACCTGATATCTGATATCAGAGAACGAAGGTAGGC